AGACACAGAGCTCACATGGGATAGAGACTTTGGTCTGACATTTTCACTCCCTGCAGCATGCATTAAACACTGCACAGAGGTGGCAGGCATCCTGAGCTCTATAGTCAAATAAAGTGGATGCTGTGGCTTTAAAGGTGTTAATTAAGCAGCAACACTGGTTGAGATCCTTGCAGGGAAAAAAGCAGAGATTGTACTGGCATCGCAGAGAGAGCCTTATTGAGAGCTTAAATCAGTTGCTAAATTGTAAAAGTGCACTGAACAGGTGCTGCAGAGAGTGGAATACATCACACATGAGCCACCGTGCAGTGGTGCAGCTCTATTTCTTTGTCTATTACTACCTTGTTAAGAAATGGGTCAGATAAAACACCTCACCGATGTGCTGTGCAAGACGATGTGTTATGATGAATTTTGTTTTGGCCTCGGAGTGCAGTGCAGGTATTAGGCTTTTAGTGCATGAAGAAATTCTCAAGCTGAACTGAGCACCTGGTTGGAATGTTATCAGCCCATTAAAACGCCATTATCAATTCTCATCACTGCCATATAGGCATTGCCTGTAGGCGGTATTTTCCAACTAGTAGGCTCAGTAGGCCATTATCAAGTCATTTCATGGTGGCAGCACAGATTTGGCAAAAAACGACAGACTTGTTTTTGCTTTGAAAGAGCAAAAATGTCTGTATGAGGAGGTTGGATAGATAGCTGGGACATAACTTTCATCCAATCACCCAACAAAACCACCAACTGGAGCTTAAACTAAGCTTTGGGCTCAGTTAAAGTTTCATTTTTTTGTTAGAGTTAGGCAGAAGAACATCATTCAGGTTTATAGTCACCCTTTCACAAGCTGTGAAAATGTTTAAATTGCCAAATCACAATATAATCTGGGTTACTCTTCACTTACTAATGATCAGAAATGGCAGAAAGCTTCTGTCCTACCAATAGTTGCAGGTCTGTGTCTGTGGAGTGGTAACAACACAGATACAAGTGGATGTTGGGATTTTCAAGAGGTTAATTATATTAAAAATGAAGCAGACTGTGATGAGGATGTATCACGATGGCGAGCAGACAACTGAGCTTATGTCTGGACTGAATTAAATTAATCCAATGTTCTCTGGCAGGTGGTTTGGATATTTACAGCAGGCCTTGTATCACTGGTTCCGGAAATCTGCACGTAAAGCCTTTCTTACTGGACCTCAGGCTCGGACTGGGAAATGGGAGATTTTTTGTATTTTTTGTATTTTTTTTTAATTTACTTATACACCAAATGAAAAGAAATATTTTGGGATGCCGCCCTCCTCTGCCTTTTTGGATGGCTTGCATTTTACTGGCAAATTAGCATGGGGGGTAGAGACCCTCCTCTCTGCTTCACTGGGCAGTTTGTGTAATGCTCACGTTGATTTCAGCCTTGGCATCACAAATGACACCTCCGCATTGGCCAGAGTGAAGAAGGATCTACCTCATTTAGCCCTATAGCTCACAATAAGCTGGTGATATGTGTGTGGGTGTGTGTATGTTTCAGGAGAAGACTTTGAGAATTTAGGCAGTATGCGCCACTGTGGTTATTTCTGTGCACGCTCACAGCAGATGCATGTGTGTACGCTTCCTTACATGTGATAAGGATGGCAGGTGCCTTTTTTCAGGACAAAGAGAACAGCTTCATGGAACTGCAGAGAACAACACAACCCGGGTACAAACAAATGAAAGCACTCATAAGTCAACTTCTCTCTTCCACAAGTAGACAGCTAGGACACGCAGACAAAGGGCGCATTGATATCGGCAGTGACACACGGGTGGCAGCTGTACACATCATGTCATTCAGTTGTGGTTGCTGTGAAAGGAGACTCTGTCAGACAAAGTGGAGTGTGGTGATGTGCTTAATCCTGTGTGGAAATGTAGTGTAAAAATAATTCAAGTTTTTGTTATAGAAATAATAACAAAACTGATGCTGCAGAGTCAACTGTTAAGCTAGTCTTGCTTAACTTTTTTTGGATACACATTATAAGAGAGTCGTGGTACTGAACGAATCCAAACACTCAATACATGTTAATAAAAATGTTTACAATGCTTTGAATGTAGTAAACACATATCACTCCACTTTCACCGGGCTAACACAGGGACGACTATTCACACTCATGTTCATACCTGCAGAATTGTAGGATCACAGATTAACCTGACATGCATGTCTTTGGAAGAACCCCAAATATCCGGAGAGAGCCTACGCAAGCAATGGGAGAAAAAGCATAATCCACACACAAAAACCCCAACAAGGACTCTCCATCAACCACTGCAGCACTGTGCCAACTACAAAAACAGGTGGATTACTTTTTTCTTGGCTTCCCGCATCTATGATGTGAATTAGAATGGCATTTGTGAAATGCTGAAAAGGGATGAGCAAGACGTGTGGTTCAAAACAGGTTTTTGGAGCAAAGTTACCAAACTTTTTAGGCTTTAAAAAAAATAAAATTATATATTGTAAAGTTATTATATGTTTGCATTGACCGTAGAAACAAATCTCATAACAGGTGCACTTTGGATCACAAAGAATATTTGCACTCAGCAGATGCATTTCTTGTTGTTTTTCTTGGTTGGTGGGCATAAAAACTGCATTGTGATGTTCAACACCCTCACTACCATCATTTACATAATTAAGGCTTAAAGTGCATTAACCTTAACAGCAGCAAAATACGCATTGCTATTTATTTTGAAGGCGTGGAAAACTTTGGCAATCTCCAAAGAAGATGTCCCGCAGTGGTTTAAAGCATGGAAACTGTGCACTGCCTGGTTTTTGTACAATGCCTATTTTTCTCTGCTCAGTGACAGTGATATACTGGTTTAGATTACACCGTCCCATCGAGAATTCAGGGCTTGTCATTTGTGATGTGTGATGCAACTGTATGGCAACCCTGTGCCCCAGAGCTAACACTCCCACTGATACCAAAGCTACTTTCCGGCACAGCACTCTTACCACCACAGGCCTTTCAGAAAACAAACCCATTACACCCACAGGCTGAGGACACACAAAAATGCACGTGTACACACACAACACAACCTTATGATTTGATTATATCCTCTGCAGCGTGGACATATAAATAAATATATATAGATATATATATATAGAGAGAGAGAGAGAACACACAACACTGGATACATCTGAGCTGGATATATCACATATGATCACCACAGTGTTGATGCCTTGTTGAAAAACTGTCATATGTAGTAACATTTAGGTTTCGTGATGGATTATTTTGCATCACTTGTTTGGTCGTAACCTAGTTGATAAGCTGTAACGTAAAATGTTGCTCTATGTTATTATGCAATAGGATCCGACTACAGAAACTTAGCAAATTCTGGGACTCTGATGAAAGCGAAAGAGAAAGGGACTGCCATCCTGCTGCTTTGTTGCTCCCAAAGTTTGTCTCATTAGCACAAAATCTTTGAAGTATCAGTAAACATGCTCTGTTTAAAAGTTAATCGAATCAGCAATACACAACTGCTTTTGGAGGCTTAAAATTGAGGCTCTTTCTGTTAAGCTGTTTAAGAAAATAGATGGATTGATAAAAAAACTGAGGCATGTATACAGAAAAGAACATGTGGCTTGTTCAGGCAGAAGACAGAGTAGAAGATACTTCAATAGATGATGTTGAGCGCAGAAGACAATTTTCATATCCAATGAAGCGTCACAGCAAAGCTTCTGTACCTCCACATAGAAGATCATTACAAAAACTTGGCCTTATGGTGCGTTCCAGATCCCAGTTCCCAGCCAGAATTTCCATCTGGAATGCCACCTCAATTTGGATTTCCCACTCACAACGTCAGAGCAGCCCCACTAACCCCGAGTTGAGGATCCAAGATGGGAGTGGTGAATGTAAACAGTAGTAAAACTTTTATTCTGTCCTGCCACTGTTGTGTATTTGTAACTCACTAAATAAGCCATACACAGAGAACTGACCAGGCTCTACCCGTGAAAGTGCTGCAGCGATGTAAACAAGTATTATGCTGTATAGCATGAATGGCTCTACCTTGCCAAGAGGCAAAACAAATCCTGCTTTTCTTTCGCTTTTCCAACCTTCCTACTGGAAAGCATTAACTAAAAACATAAGTCAGTGTGTGTTGAAGTCCCCTGGTTCAAAGTCCTATTCCCCTTTGGAAATTTGTCAGTCTTTATCTTTCTCTAACTGGAAACACTACAATATGCTGTTTTCGGTTTCCATATGAGTCATGTAAAAAGACTGGGAGCAGCGGCCAGCAGTCATTTAGGCTCGACTTGTTGCTTTAGTCTATTATTTAAAGGGCTATTACCACATAATCTGCTTACAATACACAAAATCTCTGTCTGTGTGAGTTTGTTTCTTTGTCTGCCAACTCCTCCCACACGATCAGGAGTTGAGCAACCAAAGCTGCCACACAGATACGTCTTGGGCCCCTGAAGGTTCTCAACTATATCAGATACTATGATATCATCAAGTTGCCTAGCAACGCTCTAGCAATGGGTTAAAAAGGCCTGTCTGTTTTTCACATTTTTACCTATAACACTTTATAAAAGCATCTACATCACACCATAACATATAATTTATATCCACATTTTTTTTTTTAATTATGCATTATATGTTATGACGCCTGCTGGTTGCTTGGCAACCCTCTATCAACAGGCTAAAAGGTTGTGTTTTTTTGTCTTTTTTTGTACTGCATCATTTTTAATTCAAAACAGCGACATGTACCTGATATCCAACAAGCTAAATTATACATGACAATTTCGTCATGCTGCCTAGCAACTACTAGGCTAAAGTGACCCATGACCTACAACAATAAAAGCATATTAGCATTTTCATTTCCTGGCCAACAGCATACACAGCCTAAACAATGCTGTAGCAATAACATGTTGCCTGACTAATTCATAAACAACAGAAAAAATGTGAAAATAAACTTGGCGAACATATATAAAAAGAGTGATATAGCGCCCAAAAAATAAGAATTTAAAACCACAGGAGAAAAAGCAGTACACTCACCTGTATCAGTGACAGGTTACTGAGGTCCAGTCTGAAAAGGTAGTTTCTGAATTAAGAAGAAAGGGAAATGATGTAAGTGACTGGCTCAAATCCAGCAAAATCTATTAAACAATGCAGATGAAGTATTAGAGACCAGCTGTCAGGTTAACACAAAGTGGATTAAAGCACAAACTGTACTGCCCGTCACTCTTGGGCCATTGTTTTCTGTTAGTATTTCAGTCTTTGGTTTTACACTTTTTTGTGATCATGTATGTCTACGCTTTTAACAGGGTCAATCCAGACAAAACTTTAACTCATATCATGCCAAGAGAATAGACACACACACACACACACACACACACACACACACACTACTGCGGCGTGACATATTTCTTCCAAATCCTTTGCTCCTGCCAAATCCAAAGCTTAACTTGGTCCAGCGAGGCCTCAGCAAAGCACTTTAAAAGCGTCATTATCCGAAAACCGCACTGTATGAGTGAGTCAGAAAGGGTATCACATTCTCAGTAATGTGCTCTGTGGGGTGAAAAGCTGAGTGGATTTACAGTTTCTTACCTGGCACCCACAATAAGCTCATTCCTAGTCAGGTCAAGGGTGAGCTGGGAGTAGTCTCTCACACCAGGGTGGGAGAAGGATGAAATCCACGGACTGAGCGCTGAGAGAGAGAAAAGGGGGGAAGGTTAGCAGAAGATAAATCATGTCGTGAGATAAAAGCAGTGACATTTACAAACAAAACTCATAAAAGGGTATAGTTTACTAATGCACGCAAAAACCTTTCCTATTTGGCATTTTATGCACAAGTGTAGGTGTTTACAGCGATGGTTAATTGACCCGATGAAAATCAAATTTATTAAGCAAAATGCTAAATGTTTGCCAGCAACAGCCTCTGTGAGGTTATTTTATGATGGCTTTCATTATATTTTAACTGTTGCTCAGACTAAACTCTCACAACACTGCACAACTATAGATTAGAAAAATGTTAGAGTGACCAATGCACCAATTATGAATAAGACACATTCATAGTTGCAGCTGAAGTGGTAAAAAAGGGCACCAAACAGTGAAGGAAAAGCTTCCTGCTACGTGACGCTGTCTCCTACAGAGCGGGACAAAGTGTCCAGGCCCCATCAGGCAACACAACCCCGATCCAACCTGACATTCAGACAAACGCGGCTCTGTGTGGGGCACGAGGCTGAAATCTCAACGCTGTATGAAACTGGCATTTACAAATCAACGTTTTCAGAGGGGCCGCCTGGTGGAGCTTTTAATGCCACACTCAAAACTCCAAAAAGAAAAAAAAGAGCATTTTCTCTACGAACTTTGTGTGGGCCTTTAAACGATTTCACCACATGGAAGTTTGCGGGGCTTAAAGGGGATTTGCTATGTTTCCGATACTGTAAACGACATCACAGTTGTTAGTGGCAAATGAGATTTCTTGGAGCAAGTTAAAAAGGCGTGTTAGACACATTTGAGCCATTTCCACAAAACTAGTCCAAAAACGGACAAGGAAAGAATCAGTAATGATGTTAAGCAACTTTATGGTTGTCCACTAATTTTCTGTATCAGAGAAAAAAAACGTTCATGACCATTGCATGACCCCCCACTGAAAAAAAAAAAAAATCTTGATTTTCTCCTTCATCAGGGAAGTGATCATCAAACATTTAAAACCTTAAAACGTTCATTTTCTTCTAAAATTAAAAGTAGCTCATAAAAGCTCCAGGCTACGAGTGAGAAACTACATCAAAGTGCTGGAAGAAGTTGCCAGGAACAGCGAAACAAGTCTCCATCACGCAAAGGAGATAAATTTTTAGGATTGATGGGAGCCCATATGGCTCTGTCATCTGCAAACATATCCAGAGATGCGAAAAACAGAAGGCGGCAGCTACAGTACGGTATGGTGCTCTTAATTTAAGATACAGAAAAACACACGCATACAATATTTAATTAAAGGTTCCAGTATTGACAGGAGACTTCACTGAAGTGATAGTGTTTGCAGTCAGATGTGGATTTGGGCACTCGACACCAAGCTGCTGTGAGACCGAACTTCATTCTAGTGTTTCTGTTTTTGTCCCACTCTTGTGAGATGTGAGCAGGGTTGAATCCATTTTCATAAATACAGTGAATATTTAAAAGTCCGCAATTTTCAGTTTGCAGCACAACTGCAATATATTCACAAGATAAGGCCTCTGTTATTCTGTATTTGAAAACTGCTGAAAAGAACAAAACCAGCGCATTTGTCCATCTCTTAATAGTTTTGGACTTCTCTGCATCTAAAAAACAACAAATCAAAATGGACTAAATTAAGTTTTATAGCAGACATTAAGGAACCAGGTAGAAATTGTTGCATTTTTTTTTCCATTAACAAGAATAAAAAACAAAGTAGAAAAAAAGCATAATAATAATAATAGTACTTAGACTTATTTTAGACATATTATAAACCACAAATACAAGCATAGGTTTTAACTTACAGTACAGGTTTTATACAAAATGCTATATATTTTTAACAATGGCTTCTGGTTTCCATGACAATCTACAGTGTAGTGTCTAGCATCTCAGAAAACAGCCACACCACTTTGTGTGCTGCAAATAACAACATAATACATTGTTAATTATGATAACAACAGCTCTTGTTCTATTAGGAATATAATAAGAAAATGAGCAGTGTGCTGCAGGGACACACAAATTTATCAACCAGCTAGATCAGAGTAGCAGTGCAGCTTTTAAAAATTAATAATACACCGGAAAGCACTTTTACAGACAGGATTAAATCTCTGATAATCACAATAAATCATCGGGTGTCCCAAGGCTATTCTAATACGATGCAAATTCTGCAAGAGGCCATCTCTTATTCTCTCCATAAATATTTATACTACACTTATCCACATACAGTGGATTGTTTCAATTTCACAGTCAGCCATGCATCCATATGGTTTGACCATCTTTGACATGCAGGGTGGGTGTAAAAAACAACAACACAACCATAGAAGGCCAGTGCAAGGAAGCGAGCGGAACCATCTGTGCATCACTCTGATTAATGGCTGCAGAGGCTGAAGGTTGGGGGGAGCGTGGGGGACGCGGCGGGGAACGCAGGCCGCCTTTAGCTGCACAGTCTTATGTAAACAGACCTGAAGTTGATTTAAAGAATCCAACGTGATCCCGGGATTGCGCAAAGCCACGGTATGTGTGAACAAAGCTTGTATGTGTGTGAACGGTGTCCCCATAACTGGGAGGAATGAACATGATTTGAACGCCAACTCAGATCATTAAAAGTCTCTAAATCAATCCCTTAAACACACACAGGCTCATGGAATTATTTGCAAAGAACAAAAAAAGTTTGTTTTAAAGGCTCAATTACTGCGAGGTTTGTGTTTGTGTGAAAATCAAACTCTGATGTGAACTACAAGACAGTCATTACCAGCTAAAGATGGGTTAGCCGAGGGTGAAATGAGCTCCGTTTCTCTTGTTCTTGTTTTTTTTTTTTTTTTTTTTGCTTTGTTTGTTGTTTTTCAGGAAAATGAGTTTCAAGAAACTAATTCTTCATTTTCCAACAGCTCATAATGGGTCAGTGAAGGTGTCATCAAAGTGTGAGGAGTTGGGTACCTCCTAATATGAATAGTTAAATCAATAAAATATAGACTGACCTCCAAAAGGCTTTAAGGAGATCTTTCTTTTTTGACATTGATATTAACATTGTAAGCACTGTGAAGATACTGATTTGCATAACTGATGAAAAAAAAAAGAAAAAGGAAAAACATTTGGATTTGAGATCTAAGATAACTTTACAGAGTCTCAGAGGTTATTAAGCTATTTAGGGCTATGACTTGTTTGGCGTTATTTCTGGGGACAGGTGATGGAAATGTCAAAGGTTTATAAATACGCTGACTCTTCAAATCTTGTTTAAAGAGTCAGCAGCAACGAGCTCCTCTAAGAATCTGCCAAGCACTCTCAACAGCTCTTACCTACAAAGCTGCAAAGCAGGAGAAGGCTTTTAGAAGACAGTAATGTAATTAAGAAAATGCAGTTGGAGGAGTGGTGGAGGTGAGGTTGTTGGCACAAGGAGCTGCTATAATGGCACAGCCAGGCTGTTGTTGGACTGTGGCGGGCCTTTAGAAAAACTCTGAATTCTTAACTTTGTAACCTTCACCAACCTGTGTAGGGTTGAGTTTGAGAAACGTGATGAAATGAAGACTTATACGCTAATTTTGGCAATTCAAACATTCCAAACAGGCAAAAAAGCTATTTAAGTGCTGTCAAAGCATCGGATATTATCTGAACCACAATTCATCTCAGTTCAATTTTATTTATATAGCGGCAAATTAGAGCAGCAGCTGTCTCAAGATGCTTTATAGTGTTAAGAACCTACAATAATAGAGAGAAAATGTAAACGATCCACTGAACCACTCTGAGCAAGTACTTGGCAATAGTGGGAAGAAAAAACTCCCTTTTAACAAGAAAAAACATCCGGTGGAACCAGGCTCAGGGGAGAGCAGCTATGGGTTAAGGAAGAGAGACAGAGATTAATTCTACTTAATTCACTTACCTTTACCTCTACTTTTAAATACTCCAGGAGCCACACGTAAGCCTGCAGTCTGAAAGTGAAGCATTCTGTTGGGATGATATTGCCCCAATACAGATGTTAAGATAAGGTTGGGCCCGATTCAAGGCTTTGTATGCGAGGAGACAGGATGTTTCTAATTTTAGAGATAAAATGGGAGTTCTATTCTATTCTATTATTGGTTAAGAATTTCATAAAGAGAAACACTGCTTTAACTGTGAGCTCAATCGTAGTTTGTCACAGATAACACTTCATTATAGAAGGAATTATTCATTTAAATATGATCAAACATCAAACACTGTAAAAAAAAATCTGATATTGAACAAACATGGCATATAAACACATGGTGAAATGCACAATGGCCAACTGAGAAAGTAACGATCTAAGCTAACATTTGCATGTTTGACCTCAATTCAAGTCTCATCTCACAGAAACATTTACAGTGAGAATGACGGATAACAAGAACTCAAGTCCAGTGTCTGTGTTACAAAATATCTTCTTTAAGCTTTACTTCAAGATTTTTTTCTTTTCTTCTTTCTGCTATTTTGAAAAGTCCTTCGTCTTCTTCGGCTATAACAAAACTGCATTGTTCCTAATTTGACCCTTTAGAAAGCATTTCATCTTTTCCTCACTTTTCTTCACAGTTAAAGAAATTCTGACCAGATCAAACAAACCAGACCAAACCGCTGCATGCCAATGTGCGCTTCAAAAAAAAAAAAAAAAACTCGTTAGAGTCCAAAACCCTCCAAACCTTTTTTTTTTTTTTGCTGGACAATTTTCCCACTTCAGGCCATGATTGAATACACCGAAGTGCCGAATGGTACGAAAGTAGGCAAAATGTGTCTTTCTCTTTGTATCTTCACACACTTTGAACATTTTTTTGTGTCTTTCCGTACAAGTGCAACCACACGAGCACCTTGGAGGAGAGACTGTTTCAAAGTAATTCTCCCATCTAAACAATTATTGTCTCGCCCCTCTCTGTCAGATGACAGGCTTTCGGCCTTTCAGTGCAACCATTTAAGCCACAGCAGTAGCAGAGAAGCAGCTGGTCATCAGCACGCTCAGTTCAAAAGAGCAGTGGCATTAAACTACATTTAGCCTGT